TCCTGAGGCATCTGGGCACCTGCTGCCAAGTTGAGTCTGGGCATTCATGGGGATCACAAGAACAGGCAGAGCTGGCCACAGTTACGACATGCACCCTGAAAAGGAGGGGAGGGCTCCATTTTGGGGCTCAGGCCAATCAGCAGCTGTTAGAGGAGATCTCATATGGTCAGATAATCCTACCCTGCCCTTTGTGGGATTATGCACCTCCCTCGGAAGGACCTGGTCTTGGCCCATGCAGGAGGCAAGGTCTTGGGTAAACTGGACCTCTGATATGACAGTCCAGTCACATTCCCAGTCCTGCAGCCAACACTGAGGGGCAGGAGACCATGAAGAGAATGGGGGTTGGGAGGGATGAGTTCTCTGGCACCTTCTAAACTGGTCTTGGAGGTGGCAGGAATGGGAGTCAATGCAATGTGGAGGAGGGAATGAACCTGGAATGGGTGCTGGGTGGGGGGAAAGGGAGCTAGACAGCAGCCGGTGGGGGGGGCAAAGAAGGGGGAGGGGTAACATGTGGTGGGATGACAGCTGGTGGCAGAGGAACGAGACAAGGGTCTATAATGGGGCATGAGCCACAACATAGGGTGGGACAACATCAGGGGGTGGCAGAAGCCTAGCAGGATAAAGATCTGATAGCGGCTAGATGACAGGCAGTAAGCTCTGTGCCTGCAGGAGCAGAGGAGGGGGCTGTGCGGGCCTGGCATGCACTGCCCCTTACCAGCAGTTTCCCAGCAGTCCCTGCAGGATGTCCGAGGGCCGGGGTGTCCGGAACACCGACCACTTGACAGACTGGTCCTTGAAGATGCTGCAGTTGATTTCATGAGGCCGCAGCCATTGCTTCACTCTCTGCTGGACACTGTCCCCATCCGGGAACCCTACGGATTTGGGCCCGGGGTGGAAACTGTCGTCCACAAAATTCACCTTGTTCTGCAAACACAAATCACATGGGCAATGACACCAAGCAGTCCATGCTACATAGTGGTCCTGGCCCCACAAGTTCACAGGGGCTCACAGAGGCAGGTCTCAGGTGTGAGTGCACCACTTAGCCCAGGCAAGGAGGGCAGCACTGCAAAGGCTGTGTTAAGCCAGGTGGCCAAAGTCAGGTGAGTGGCAAGAGCAGAGGGTCATTAGACATTCCCTGCTGCAGTAAGAGTGGGAGTTTCTGAATGAGGCAGGGCTGAGGGCGCAGAGCACAGAGCTGACCTGTGTGGAGGGGCCCATCCTGTGACTGCACATCCCTTAGGGGAAGTTTCAAAACAGACAGAAATCTGCATGGCTCAGACCCTCACAATGGGCACAGGCTGGCAAGGGCTGGAACTAACAGGAGAGACAAGCCCAGAGGCATTTGCTCACATGATGCAACGGCAGTTTTCCAGTAAGTCAATAAGTAGCTCAGGAACCAGCCTTTTCACCCCTCCTCTTATACTGACACCAGGGTATACAGCACACCTTGTGCACGCAGGGCCACCACAACAATGTTTCACTATCTGCTACTGCACTCAGGATGCCTGGGTTCAATCCCCAGCTGTGCTAGATTCCCTGAACGTCCTTGGACAATTCACTTAATCTCCGGGTCTCAGCCTCCAGCTGCAATGTGGAGATAACCAGCCTTCTTTTGTCTCCCACCTCAACTGTAACTTTTTCAGGGCAGGAAGTGTCTCTCACTAGGTGTTCACCCATCTCCAAGGGGCTCATATAAATAGCAGCAAATCTTCCAGGCAGCCTTTGCCTTAAACCATGTTCCAAACTGTCATGACTCCATAGCAGCCAAATATTCACATGCGGACACTCATGTGTCCGTTAGAAATGCTGGCCACACTCGAAATTCAGTCTGCCTTAATCCAAATTAACTTCCAAGCATAGACAAGTTTTTAGGTTTATAGCATAAGAGCTATCAAGGAAGCCACAGCTAACTGAGAGGAGAAGTAGTGTTTAAAACAGGGTGATTAAAAATCAGGATATTTTTGTAATTAAAAGAAATCAAACTGTTATGATTAAAATCCAATTTGATATAAATCAACTTTTATATACATAAGGATGGTACTTTCTTCTCTCGTTATGGTCTTGAATCATTAAAATGACTGCTTTGTGTGGTTTTTTTCTTTAACAACCATCTCCTAATTGTACAAAGAACCTCATATTTTACAAAGGGGTTCTTTCTTAAGTGGGAAATTTAACACTTAAAATATTCCTCTAGACCAGGAGTGGCCAATGTGTGGCTCTGGAGCCATGTGCGGTTCTTCAGAAGTTAATATATGTCTCCTTAAATCTTTGCACAAGCACACAGTGACCAGCTTCCAAGTGGAAGGAGATGCATATTAACTTCTGAAGAGCCACATGTTGCTCCAGAGCTGCAGGTTGGCCACCCCTGCTCTAGACCAAAGAAAGAGAAGTCCTTGGGACTCATCAACCTTCTCTACTGGGAGAGCACCGTCCCCGAGACAGAACTGATGAGGAAATAGCTGGTGCTGGATTTGCAACCAACAACATCTCGCAATATCTGGAACTTGTGCCATTATTTTTGTTATCTGCCCTGTGGTAAGACCCAGTCATGGCCAGGGCCCCATTGTGTCAGGCAATGAAAAAACACAGAAGAAAAAGATGGTCCCTGCCCCAAAGACTTTGAATAGCCAAGAATGCTGACGTGCTTTGGCCAGGTTGTTTTTCACCACAGGGGCTGCAGTGGTGGGATATCTTTGGAATGAAGTGATGGCAGAGAGGATCCCAGGTGAAATCTTGGCCTCATTCAAGTCCACTTCCAATGATTTCAATGGGGGCAGAATCCCAGAAGTGGTCCCAGGAAAGCACACACAGGAGTATAAGCAAGTGGTGTTACAGTCCCAAGGGGCCTGTGTGCACCCTACACACATTGCTGATCCCAGGGGAAAGTCACTACTCCCCTAATGAAACCAATCACTCATTAACATTACCCTCCGGAAGATAAATCATGAGACCCAGACCTCCCCTGCAGCTAGCTTCACCTCATTGGTTTGTCTATGGCCACAGCCCTGCAGGGATAGCATTCCCCTGTAAGCAGAATACCAATTCGTTATTCTTCATGTTTAACTCCTAGTCTGTTTCTAACACATGGCTTGCCCTGTGCTCCACTGGCAGTGTCCTAAAGTCAGCTAAGACCTCCCCATTTGGTGATGCTTTCTCTTGGCACAACACTCTCTCTCAGCTCTGGGTCTCCCTGATGCTGGCCTGGGCAGGGATATTATTTCTTGTAGTGCTCCTGTCTGCACTTCTTCTGCCAAGGCATGTGCAGGAGACTTGCACATCCATATGGCATTAGCTGGTAACATCACCTCCATTCTAGAAACACCCCAAAGCTACTAAGCTCACTCAGTTATTGATCCACCTGTGGTTACTGAGAGGCAGGAGTGGTGTGCTGCAATGTTGGAACGTTCTGGCTGGAATCCCAAAGAGTTAAACATTATGTCAAAGACCGGTTTCAGGCTGCCCATTCCACCCCTGGTCATTTATTTATTTGCTTTTCAAAGAGTTGTATAATTAAAGCAATTGTGCGATTAGGAATCAATGACTCACACCTGTGACCTTTATCTTAAGCTGCTAACAGAGCTGAGCCAGAGCCTGGAGCCTGGCTGCACCTGCTCTTGCTGGGGATCGCACAGGGCTGCCTGAGGGCCCTGCTCAGCCTGGACTCTGCTGGTTTTGCCCTTCCAAAGGAATCTGCGGGGTTTGGCCCTCCACACATAAAGGTGGAGCATGATACCCCTGACTTCAGAGTTCATTCAGTCCAACGCAGCAAGGCTAAGAATCAGACTTATGACATGGTCTGACAACTACCTGATAACATAGTAATTAGGTCTTCTGTAAGATGCTTTGCTCAGAGATCTTAGAAAGATTTACAAAAGGTGACAGTATCATGATTCCCATTGGGCAGGGGGGAAACTGAGGCATGGGGACATGGCAGGGAGTTACCCAAAGTCAGTGTCATAGCTGGGAACAGGTCCCATATCCCTGACCCTAATTCCAGGGCCTTAAGGGTTTTTCAGTGACCAAGACCAAGGGGATGTCACGGGCCAGGGGGAGGAGGATGCTTCTGAGAACAAACAGCCAGGTATAGCCCTAGCAGTGAACAGTGTCAAGGGGGAAAGACAGAGAAGGACAGAGATGATAGCTCAGAAGACAGAGGAACAAAACCTGAGGGGAGAGACAAGTCAATAGGAAGGTAAGAAAAGGCACCGCATGGGATGGGAGAAGGAGAAGACCTCCACAGCTTGCCTGGCGCATGGCAGAGAGCCCAGGACGCATGGGTTCAACATCCTATTCAGCCACTGCTTCAGTGTACAAAACTCCTGGATGTGTCACTTCCCTCTTCCTGCCTCAGTTTCCCTGGGGCAAACTGGTGATAAGGAGGCTTGCTCCATTACCAGAACGAGCTCAGAGGGGATACTGTGAGGGTTAATTAATGGGGCAAATCCTTGAATGATATAAACTGTCATCCCCAGATTGACGCCAAAGGAGTCCGGTCAATTTGCATCAGCCATGGACCTGCCCCAAGATCTGTGCAGATGGGGACATGGTGGTGGCAGGTGTTACTGAAAGGAAGGAGAAAGGCAGGACTGCAGGGTGGAGACCACACCAGGACGAGAAGGGAGGACAAGGCACAGACACAGGTTTGAGGAACTGGAAGAATATGCAATAGTTCAGTGCAAAAAGTTGGCAGGGGGAAAATCAGGCTGCTGAGGTGGAGACAAAATCCTGCTCCACTCTGGAGAACAGAGGAAGGGCAAAGCTAGACAGGAATAAAGCCAGGGCCCTATTTACTTATGTGCAGAGCCAGGGAGAAACATTTGGAAATGTACAAGAGAAACACGTGAGAATAAAAATGCCATCAGCAGTGAATTCAAGCAGAACTTCCCAGCTCCGCCGGCTGCAAGCATATGGAGCACGCTGCCAGGGGAGACGCTCAATGCAAACAGCATCAATGGGCTTCAAGAGGTTACTCGATATATTTCAGGCACATGAGGATGCTCAAGGCTAATCCAGGGGGTTGCGGCTATCCCAGAACAAACCAATGCTCTGAGCAATCTGGCACCCTGACTCCAACAGCATAACAAACAGAATGTATGGGCGACTTTAGGACTACTGAACACAGCAGCCAACAGAAGGCTTGAACCTCCTTTGAAAAACAGGCATAGGGCAGGAACGATTTCACAGACTTCTTGGGCTGCTCTGCTCTGAGCTGAGACTGATAATGGGAGGAGAGTGGAGACAACAGGACAGTACAAAGGGGTTTCTGAATGAGCAATTCTAGTTCTCTAACTCTCTGAAGTTGTCAGGAATCCACACTACACTCTGATGCCAACCTGTGGCAGGAGCTCTAATCAACTGGGTTCATTTAGCTCTACAATCTTGGATGAATGCCTTCCTAGCTGCCAAGGAGGAATGCTCATTGCCTGGGCAATGGGGGATGGTAAGCAGCAATCCAATAGTGTAACTCTTGGGGCTCTGACTCACGGCTTAAATCCTCGGGGTGGGCGATAATAGTGTTCTTGCCATGTGTTTGTACCCACTGGCTGTCTCTTGTCCTGTGCTTGAACTAAAAGCTCTCTGAGGCAAGGCTTTTTTCTTCATGTGTTTGTACAGTGCTCAGCATAATGATTCATGACTGAGGCTCCCAGGTAGTAAATAATAATATTATTCTGTGTAACATTAGGTTTCAGAATCAACACCCAGTGAGGTGAGCTAGGCAGTACCCATGTCTCAGACCTATTGTTTCAAGTTCCCTGCAGATTCAGGCAAGCAGCACATTGAGCAGAGCTTGCCAAAGAGATGCCAGGCTTGGCAGCCAAGAACTGGCAGGTCTCACCTCCCTCCACACGGGAGGAATTCTTTACAGGACGTGGGGAAGGGGTAGGGGAAGGCTGAAGCTTAAAGAGTGCTCACCTCCCGACAGAAAGTCACGATGTTTTCCCACAGGGCCTTGGCCTCACCCTCATCTGTCTGCCGCCTCTTCTCCACATGCATGCTCTCCCGCCTCTTGAGTGGCTTGGCACCCTTGCGCTGGGTCATGTACTGCTGGGGAGTGTGGCAGGCCACGCAATGCTTGGCCTTCAGTTCATTGAGCAGGGTGCAAGCAGGGCATGGCCACTGGTTCAGCCTGTCCTGGACCAAGGGTGGTTGAGAGGGGAAGAGGCGGGCCACCTTGCGGGCCGATGGGGCCTTGCCGCTGCAAGAGACACAGCTCCCCTTGTCAATGCCACAGTCGGGACACTTGGGGGCTGATTCACTCTGCACTCCATGCTCCTGGAAGCCGTGCAGCTTGGAGGAGCCACAGGCCTTGCACTTCTGCACAAGGGTGGGGTTTTTTAGGGTGCATTTGGAACAGGACCACGTGGTAAAGTCAGGGCTTGAAGGGCTACAGGGGGTGAACCTCACTGAGTCGCCTGCCAGGTCAATCGTGTCACTGCTCTTCTGAGCACTGCAGGCCTCGCACTTGCTAGCCCCAGCAGAATTGAGCAGGGAGCAGGTGCTACACTTCCAGTGTGATGGGCTGACTTCCATCTCCTCCTCCAGCACACTCAGACGCTTGGTGCACAACAGCTCTTGAAAGCGGGCAACAGGGGGGACCCGGGCCTGGCCTTGTGGAGACCCCTTCTGCCCAGCTGCAGTCTGAGCCGTGGGCTGAGAGGTCTCGGATACCTGTGGCTGCAGCTGGGGTGGCACCTCCCTGCGGCTCCTGGGCACAGGGTTGTTCTGCAGGCCAGGGGAGAAGGGGCTGAAGGCTGGCATCTTCTGAGCATCCTGCTCCATGGCTGTGGAGCCCTGACTGGCCACAGGGTCGCTGTCTGTGATCTCTATAGAGACGCCGGGCTGAGGGGCGGCAGGGGCCATGTGGAACCCAGCAGGGGCGATGACCTCGGGGACCACCAGTGCCTCCGGAGGGATCTTGGGCAGTGAGAGTTTGCGTGGCCCCCCACAGGCTGAGCAGGAGTTGGCCACAGGTGTGTTGTGCAGCGTGCAGCGCTGGCAGGCCCAGCCATTCTCCAGCTCTGTCTCCTCGGGGCTCTTCCCACCTGACTCCTCACTGCTGCTCTCAGCTTTGTGTACATCCTCCTTGGAGATCCCCTTGGGTTCCACCAGCACGGTGGGCTTGGGCACGACACCGTTGATGATGGGCAGTGGGGTGCCGCCCGGCCCGGGTTCTGGCATGAAGCCACACACCTCGCAGGCCTCTTTGCCCAAGAAGTTTCTGAAGGTGCAGCGGGCACAGGCCCATTTCTGCTCCTCCACACTGAGCCTCAGGATGTGGTTGAGGTCTGGCTTCTGGCGGGGAGCCTCACAAATGGAGCATTGCCGCTGTCCCACAGGGTTCAGGAAGGTGCAGCGCGTGCAGGACCACTCCCGCACAGCAGCCATAGAACCAGGAGAGTGGGTGTGACTGCAAGAGAGCAGGAGAGGACACCGTTACCAGCAGGGAACATGAGGCAGTGGAGCGATGGGAGAAAGAATCACACCAGGGCCTAGCACCATGGGAGGAGGGACTTCACACATCTGCTGACAGGCTCACATTACAGGCCAGACTCTCGGACCTTGTCTGCATAGGCCACCAGAACCAGCCTTGCCCTTGGCAGCAAACAAGTACAGCTGCTGTAGAAAAGCATGAACAGGGTTTCTTTGCCTGACATAGACTGAACCTTGCTTCCAGGAAGGGAGCAAGCAGGAATCCAGTGTAGCTGTGCTCTTGGGACTGGCTTCTCTGGCACTGACAACCTATTCCTCTGAGTGCACAAGAAGTAAACTGGCATCCTACCAAGTTTCTTAAAGAGTGACAGCAATCCAACACTGTGCAGTGCCTGCCCTGCCCAGATGCACCCCTCCAAGCACCCCTGGCTCCAGGGCCATTCATTAAGAAGCAGTAAGGGAGCCCCCTCCTCCCTTCCCCTCCCCTCTAGCTTTACACTCAGCAAATTTCCCATATTAGCAGCACCTTTATGTGTAGTTAATAAATCTCCTGGTTAGTAATCTATGCACCATTACACCATCAAATAGCAACTGCTCTCCCTTAGCTGCAGCATGCCACGTCCACATGGCTGGAATACAAAGGAACTGTGGTTAGGCCCAACGTTGTGGAGAAACACCCAGGTAGTGCATATGAGGACAAAGGCAGGGGAAGCACGTTGTTACTGCCACAAGGCGACAGACACACAGAAACATACACACAGATGTCTATCTTACTTCCAAAAAGAGAGAGTGCTTCTTTTAGCTAACAACTCTGCAGTAGCATGTCTGTGCAGGGAGAGAAATCGAGCTTGTAAAAGAAACTTGCCTGGGTGATCAGCAACCCCTTTTGCTTGAAACTGGAGCAAATTTCAACTCTGACCTGGTTGTCATGGCATAGGGTAGTGCTGTGGGCACTGGGCCCACAGGTTTATCAGGGCAGTACTGTACTTCTAACACCCCACGCAACTCTGGGACTGCTGTTTCACTTCAGGTTCTGCTTCACAGGAGGCTTTGAATCCTAATAAGGAACTTCTCCTTGGCAAAGATAAAAGGGTCCTGGAAGCACCTTTGGTCACCCCAGATTTTGTAAAACCCAGTATGTCTATGGGCAGCTTCTCAGACACTGTAAACACTGAGATGGATACCACTACCTTACCTTTGCACTACACTTACCTTGTGCATAAACAACAAAAGGAGCATGATGTGCACTGGGCTGCACTCGAATCTTATGTCACTTTCTAACATGTACAGGCAATGACCTGCACAAGTGGTTGCCCTGTGCCCAGCCCTGAGCCCTGAAGCAGTAGCAAAACTCAGCAGGTTGGGCTCAAAAATGAACTTCTGGCTTCTTTTTTCACTTATGCAAGTGACTGTAATGTTAAAAAAGACACACTACAAAACTCCAGTCACCAAGCATGAGTTCCCCTCACAAGGGATCACAGAATACCAAACTTAAGGCCCTTTTCCTGGGAAAAGAACCATGCTAGAAGACCTTCGGCTCCACTACAGCTCTGCAGGTATGATTGTGGGATTGGACCCTTTCAAAGAAGCCCAGCAGCAACTTAGCTTGTACTGGAAAGAAAGATACCCCCAACCCTTCCTGGACATTACACCTCACAGCACATCTCATCTGAAAGGAGGAGCTGCGCAGTGCGCTCTGAAGGCTGACAAACTCCAGAAGCTTTGGACCACCGAGCAGGAGCAAACTCCAAATCTGGGGGACCTCACCGTGGGACAAGGCCCTGTGACTCCCTCACTGTTATGTTGTACAAGGTTGGGCTCCGGTTCCTCTACTGATCTCAAGCACAGCCATATTGCCCAGAAAACAAGGCATCTCACCTCTTATATAAAGGCCCCAGAGCTCAGATCTCTTCAGGTGAATACAGACATCTCAAACCCTAACCAGATACCCACCAGCAGCCAGAGAGGAGGTGTGATATGCCCTAGCAAGGCGCTATGCTGGTTGACTGTCACCCCAAGTATTCGTGGTCTTGTGACAAACAGAGGTATGTAACAAGGTAGTAAGAATCACAGGGGAGAGGAAAAGGCACTGCCAGCGGGTAGAGGCAAATGGGAATGGCTGCCCGGGCCAGTACTGAAAGCCAATGACCCATCAATAGCCTAAGAGTGATCCAGCAACACTCCCAACCTATGAACCCATGCGATCCAAGTGCAGGTAAGCCCTTCCTCTGCAAAGACCAGTATAACCTTTGTTCTCTCTTCTGCTTGCTTTACCTGCACTACCGACAGGACCCATTTAAAAATAAGATAAATATCTTTAAAAGCAAAGCCCATTTCAGAGAATCAAATGAATTCTGAGAGAAGGAGAGAGACAGGGATATTGCAAACTCTTTATGGTATATATAACATTCTTTAATATTTTGTTCTTTACAAGGTATTTATTGGCGTTATTTCAGGAATCTTTCATAACAAAGTGAAATGTAAAAATTGATTTTTCTTCCTTCTGCCTTGAGTTAATAGAGCTGGGAGCTAGCACGAAATCGGCATCAGGAGCCACAGAACTCAGACAAATCTCCAGCTCCATGAAGATGACACTTAAGTTATCTCTTCCCACTTTTCCCATTTGCGTACTTTATGCATGTGGATACATACACACAAACACACACACATTATTTGTATAACTGCTGCTCTAACGTGGCCCCATTGTGTTAGATGCT